GGGGGGGGGGCAGAAATACCTGAACAACGCGCGAGCGTGCGGTTGGATTGATCTCGGCAAGCACCCGCGAAGCGGTCTGCGACAGGCCACACAGATCATTACCAATGATCGATGGCTGGAAGAGAGCCTGCATGGCAAAGTGGCGCAGGAGTACGCAGGCGCGCATGAGAGCCGGTCATGGGCGGAGAGGCAAGGCGAGCCAGGACAATGAGCACACCGATGTGTAAGTTGCAATCGGCAAGTGCGAAAACCAAAAGCAAAACACGGCGCGCGACGCACCTCGGGCACACGGAGGCGCTCGATGTTCAAATGGATCTGATGCTGCTCATGTAGGTTCAGGGTCTCGTCGCTGATGCCGCGCGCCAGCATGGCATCCTTGACATTGGTTGGGGTGAAGCCGCGCGAGCGCTTGCGCGTGTTGAAAAAGGCCGGCAGAGCCACACCATGCGTCAGCAGGGCCAGGAGCCAGTCCTGCGAGCGGTCGACCAGCAGCGAGTCCACCGCATTCGGGGCCGACAGGTCAGTCGGCGTGAAGGCCGGCTCATACCGAACAATTTGTGTTTCGATGGCCGCCAGCAGCGCAAGGTCCTCCTCTTCAGCCTCCTGATCACCCTCCGTAGACTGCGCAGTGTGGATGATTGCCACGCAGGGGCGCGTTAATGCACACGCGGGACAGCAAGCATGCAGGATGCCGCGAAGTGTGGGGCGGAGATAGGGTGATGGTGGTGAGGGGGAGGGGGAGAGACACCCGAGGGTCGTACAATCTCGCGGTAAATGGACCAATCGCTGTCATCGGCGCCAAAGTTGTCATCGTCACTGTCGTCCTGGTTGCCGCGGCCGCCAGCCCGACCGCGCCCCCGGCGGCGCCCTCCCCGAGAGGGCCCGGTCTCGCCGGACGGATCCGAGGAAAGCCCCTCACCGGAGGAGGCCAGGTTGGCCAGGTGGCGCATGCGCTTTTGCGCGGTGGCCGAATGCCGGGACAAAAGTTGCTGCCGCCGGCTGCGCGACTCGCGCAGACGCTCGATGATGCGCTTTTCGGTTTCCATGGGTGTCAGCGTTTGGCCGGGAGAGGGGAGAATAGGGCCACAGGAAGGAAGGAGGGAAGGGAGGGGAAGCGGGCGGGGAGGGGGAAACGAATGGCCCATGGGCAAGTGTACCTGGCGCTCGGCCAATTTCTGTGCAATGAAAAGACGAGGGTCGGCCTCGTAGGCAAGTCGATCCAACTCGGCTTGCTCGGCCTCGGCCTGGAGTGCGGTCTGACGCTGTTCTTGGGCCCGGGCCCGGGCATCCGCCGCGCCCTTCAGCAGTCGCTGCTTGCGCTTCTCGCGCACTTCGGCCGGGGTGAGCTGTTCGTCCGGCACATCCAACAGGGGGTATGCGGCTTCGGTCTTGGGGGACTAGCGTGTTGCAAACATGTCAGCAAGGACCAGCGGGGACGGAGGCAGGGGAGAAGGAGGACATCCGGCGGAGCATCCCCACTTCGTGGAGACGCCCGACCATGGTGTGCACGCACCGAGGTGGTGTCAATGCCGAGGGCGCGATTCCGGGCGGTGGTCAGTTCCCCTTCCGCTCGCTGGATCGCCTCCAGCAATTGATCCACCGACTGGAAGCCATTTCGAGAGAGGTACGCCTGTCCAGCGGGGCGGGAGCGGGGGGGGGGGGGGAGGGAGGAATAAACATCCAAGTTGGTGCGCCAAGGAGAAGGTAAGAGGACCGAAAGGAGAGCAGCGGACAGGGGCAGAGGGGGGGGGGCGGGGGCGAGGTGGGATTCATCGCACCTGGAAGGCTTTTGGAGTCAAGACCTCCTGTTCGGCAAGGTGGACACGCAAGTTGTCAACCACCTCCTCAAGCCGAGCCATCCGGGCGGCGCGCTTCTTGGCCGCCTGTTCTTGCAGTCGGCGGCCGCTTTCGGCACGCATTTGCCGAATGCGCTCGATTTCCTCGGGGCTATTTTGCTTGAGCAGCTGGATGATGGCAGCCACACGCGCATGTGAATGCACGCAGATGTGTATGCATGCATGTATGTATGTGTGTGTGTGTGTGAGAGAGAGAGGAGGAGGTACACTCGGGGGAAGGGAGGCAGGGCGGAGGGCAGGTGGAACGCACAGCCTCGCTGACGCGGCATTGGATGATGCGATTCAGCCGATCGAAGATGTCGCGCGTGGGCTGGCCCTTGAGAGCCTCTGGCAGCAGGGAGCTCGATGATCGGTCGAAGAAGGTCATAATCTCTCGGGAATAGTCGGTACTCACGCGGCAGTGCTCATGAATGAGACTGGCTAGCGTGTGAGGCGAGTTGAACTGATCCTGCAGATGGGGGTACTTCATGGACAGGATCGATCCGAGAAGGGACTCCATGGATGCGCCACCAAGGTCCACGCTGGGGCCGGGCGGGGGAGGTGCGAGGAGTCGAGCGGAGAGAGAGGGGAAAAGAGGGGGAGGGGATAAGTTTTCTGGGATCCCCAGGGAAAGGAGGGCCGACGGATCGGGGAAAAGAGGTGGTTGTGGCACACGAGCGCACCGCCGGGCATGGTTGAACTGAACCTGGCCGTCGAGAACCGGCACCACATGTGAGTTCCGGTAGCCGGCAGCCACAATGAGCGACGCATCAGGTGCCGACTGGGAGCCCACCTGCGACAGGCCATAGTGGTAGGCATAGAGAAAGTCCACGCCGTGCGAGACTGCCGGCGCGCCGTACAGCTCGAAGAGCATCTCGTTGGTGGCTGCACCGAGCGGGTGCAGATGGGAGGAGGCAGTCATGGCGATGTATGTGAGCATGAGGCACCAGCAAGTGTGCAATGACCCAAGACCAGGGGATGTACACACCAGAGCGGATGCCATTCGGCAGGCAAAAGGCTTCCGTGATGACCAGCGGGTGGTCCACCGCTTGACCACGGACGCCTAGGCGAGCAAAGGAAAAGTCCAGGATCTCCTCCTGGGGGTGCCAGGAGGGGAGGCACCGGTGTCGTGGGACAGGAGAGGAGGGGAGGAGGGGGAGGAGGGGGAGGTATCAGAGGAAGGGCATCGCAGAGGGGCGTGCGCATGGGCATGTATGTGTATGTGTTTCATGTACCATGACGTCAAAGTTGACCAGGAGCCCGTGGTCTGCACCGTGGGGCTGGCGTGCGTGGAGGCGACTGCCAGTCGGATCGGCGTAGACAGCGTGGCCGACGCGCGTGAGATTGGCCGATGGGTCATCGGTTTTGCGGTTGACCCGCGGCTTGGCGGCCACGCTGGGAAAGTCCACTGGTGTTGTCGTTGTCGGCGGCGTCGTCGGTGTCGTGGTCGTTTTTTCCGTCCCCCACACAGTGTGGAGACACGCAAGAGTGGCGCGGGTCAGAAGGGGGACGAGCGGAAATGGGTCCAGAGCAGAGCTGACGTACGGCAGGGAGCCGGGTCACTTGACCAGCCGGCGCGGAAGTTGAAGGACCCTGTTCGGGCGAGGGGCGTGGCGCGGCCGGGAGGGACACGGAGCAGGCGTGTAGCATGAGTTGGTGGCCGAGAGAGGGGTGGGGGAGGACCCAGCGAAGTGCGCGGCGAGGGCGAGGCAAGGACGAACCATTGTCAATGATGATCGCCTGGCGCTGGTCGCCTGTGGCTGGGGCGAAGCGTGGCGGGTTTTCCCGCTCCAGGCTTGGGAGCTTGGCCTGCGGGAGGTGGTAGATTGGTCGAGTCTGCTCCGAAGGGGAGTCCCCCAGGCCGGGCGGGGCGTCGGAGGTCATTTGCGAATGGGCTCCCCGCGCGAGGGAGTTGGCTGCCAAAGAGAATGGGCGGGGGCGCGAGGGGCGGGCGG